CCTATGCCAATCAAAATGACCTCAAACTCAAAACTCATTTCATAAAAACCTAAAACCCAAAAATTTAAAACATGAATTCGAGCAATTGTAGTGCATGATATGAAATTCTAATGATATTAGGAGATTTCTAACCCTCAAATTAGTCTAGTAGCATACCTTTAATTGTTCAAAGTAGCTTCTTCCACAAATCCAAAATTCCAAATTTGAATTTCTCTGTCTAGCTCCTCTCTTCTCCCTCTCTCCTCTCTTGGCGGTTCTCCCTTATCCAGAAACTTGTTGAAGTCTTAAGCATCTCCTCCACCACTCTAGAAACTTGGAAAAGGCGGGGGAGAGCTCTTGCGCTGCTAGGCAATATCTTGGGAAGAAATGTCATGTAATGGCATTTTCGTAAATAACTCAATTTTTTTTTACTTTAATTCTAATTTTTTTTATAATTATATACCTATTTAAAACATGCACTATATAAAAAAATATTTTTCTATTTTTTTTTCGTACACATGCATGCTTGGGTTTTACAATGAGAGTCTTCCATCGGTGTAAACCCTACCCCTGAAATATTTTTCCATTAGGGTGAGCCACGCTCAAAAGGGTATCTCCTAAATAGGCTACTCCCCAACCTAAATGCATATAAAATGTTTACATGCACAATTCAACAAGCAACAATATTTCAGTCAAGAATATGCAATTCAATGTTCAAAATCACCATGTCATGTCATGATATAAGATGAGACTCACTCATGTACTTCAACTCCAGCCTTCACCAGCTCTCTCAACACATGCAAATGTCATCCGTATGATCTCCAGGTATTCCAAGTCTTTGCCATTAATGTTACACATCCAATGACTATTTAAAATCTCTAGGTCTTTCTTGGGGTGGGTATTTATAGACTTTCACCAACGGACACCCAACCGACATGAAATTCAAGAACTTCCACCAACGATTCTGCGTACACCGACACACTTTATGGACTAAACCAAGGGAATGCGTATTCTAATCACCGGGTCTTGCACCCGATGGAAAGTCTAGCCCTTCTTACTAACCCCGACCCTATTTTCAATGCAAACTATACGACTCAGTCGAACCTCGGTCCAACTATCCTGAGCCCACGTATCATCCACCAAGAATGGTGTTTGATCAAACCATGTACACACACCCACACTCATGTCAAACACTTATGAATTCGATGTCTCCGTGCATATGCAATGTAATGTACAATTCCTATACAATTTTATGTTCAATATGTTATGAGTGTCATATGAACCAATTCAACCACATTTTCACATATTCCATGGTCAATTATATCATGTGCATATAATTACCATAAATCATCTTAATGTCAATACATCACCAAGCATATATCAACAGTATACCCAACAACAATTTCCAAGCATGTTATCACATAATCATATAAATAACACAATTAACTCACAAAAGTATAATATAAACATATAGCATGTCCACATAACACTATTTTTCAAGAAATTAAAAGCTAGTAATTTCTATACACCAATTCAACCTAGAATTGATTTTTACCCATTTTCAATATACATTTCATCCATTTAACAACAATAGGCAAGTGTTATACATCTCTAACAACCTATCCATTCCATATCACAACTCTATGATATAAATAAACTTAGTTAGAGAGAGAACCCTACCTCTTAAAGTTTAAAACAACGGTAAGAAGCTTCATGAATCTCAAATCACGTCTAAACCGTTGATTTCTCCAAGTCCCATTTTTGAAACTTCACCCAAATTCGTGCTTTTTTGGTATGGTTGCGTAACCCTCAATGAGAATGACAACTTTTGTTATTGGCTTGAGTCAATTCGAGCAACATAGAGACGTAGATCGTAGAGAGAAAGTGTGAAACTCTTGCTCTTTTTCTCTCTTCTTACTTTCTCTTTTTTAACAGGTAAAAGGCTGAGAATTGGGGAAGAAAATCAGATTTTCTTCTCCTTTTATGGTCTTTAAATACTTGGGTCTCATTCTGTCACACGTTTTCCTTTCCTAGGTATGTTTTTGACCCGAATTAATTAAATTTCGTCCTGATTTAAGTTCAAAATATTTTTACATGGACTAATTTTAAATTATTATCCAATCTTTTAAATTTAATTCCTGGGTTCGTTTATGTGGTCACCTGACACCCAGTCGCCTCATAAAATGTAAAAAATTCGATTATATCAAAATTCGATAAAAATTCACATGATAGCTAGATTTCACGAGAAGAATTCAACGATGAGGTTCGTTTCATCATCTGAGTTCTAGAAAAATTAAGGTTTTTAACCCATATTGTAATGACAAATTACCGTTTTACCCTTTTTCATAAAAAAAATCAAATTTATTTGGATTTTACAGAGAATGATGTCAAGGAATGTTTTAGATAAAAAAGAGATAAGGAAAGTGAAAGAGAATGAGAATGAGGGAGGCAGAAGATTAGTGTAAGGAATGGGGAGATTGAAAGTGTGACAGAGGGATAGGGGGAAGGGAATTTTGGTAGGGTTGAGAGAGGGCAGAGTTTGGCAGAGAAAAAAGATGGGGAGAGAGTTACTTGAGAATGGGAGAAAAAGCTAAGTGATTGTGGTCATTAGGAGTTGTTTGTGATGTTTGGGCAGCTACAGTGGATGGGCAAAGGTGGTGCCTACTAGAGAAGAAAGATGGTAGATGGAGCGAGGAGAAAGAGAAGAATGAGATTAGGGCATAATAAATTTGGGGATCTTTGAATTTGGGGAGAGAGTAAATGTGGCATTAGGGCATGAGAAGGGTCAGAAAGGAGTAAATATTTAGTAAATGCACGATACGCCATAAAAGTATGAAAGTTGGACCTAATTATGAGGGAATTCAAAAATTAAAAATTTTTGGCAGGATAATCAAAAGTTAATTTGGTGTGTTGAATCAAAAATTTTGAGATGATTTGAGATGTGAGGAGCTCTAGACAGTTTAGGATAGTGTCGTCTGTTGGTTGATACCTTTTTTTGTCTCAAAATGATCTCAGCCGCTTTTGTCTCTAAAATTCAAAATTTGCTCTATTTTATTATATAGATATTTTTACTACAAAGTGTCCCCAAAAAGATCAAAAGCGGCTAGTCGTTAGGAGATGTAAAAAAAGATTGAACCTGAGACTTGTAAATTATCAAAAGTTAAACCCAACCACTTATCACTCCTAATTAATTGTTTGTATATATGGGGCAATAGGATAAATAGTTATGTGTTAAAACCCATAAAATATCTATCCTCGTCTCTCTGAAATTCCTCAAAGAAGAGAACTCAAATTCAAAGATTGTGGTGCACATTAATGCCTCATCGTCCCACAAAGAAAGAAAGACACACTCAGAAGTAGTAGTGAAAAGATGAATAGTCTCTATTTGAAGGCATGGATTCATGGGGTGACTTCAACAATCCCAGTCGTTGGAGAAGCTTTAGACGTCGTACAACTTCAGCCCACTTGAGCGCCGCCATGGAACGTTCTGCAAACAGTGGCTGCGAATGCAATTTTAGTTGAGAAACTTTTTGTTTTGTCATCAGCCGCCTCGAGATGAGGGCTCACAGTTGCTTTTGCTTCAGGCCATCAAGAAATTCTGCTAAAAGTCGAAGAAAAATACAACCATGAAAAGTGAAGTGAACGAAAGAAAATGAAATAAAATATATTTTTGTGCATACATTTGATTAGCATAAAAACCTTGCAAGAAAATTTTTTAAAAATTCATTATATTGTTTGAAAGAAAGGAAAAATTTTTTAATTATCTAAATTATCTTTAAATATATTAAATTGGTCTAGAGAAAAAAAAATATGTATTATAATTAAAAATTAAATTTTTTTTCAAAATGTTACTCCTAGTATAATTTGGACAACCATCAACACAAAGGTCTCTAAGTCAAATATAATGGTTAACTAAATTCATACCAAATTTTTTTAAAATTAATAATCAATAAAATATTTTAAAAAAAATAAGAGTAAAATAAGAAATTAGTTATACATCACAATTTTCTTATATTTTCTTTTGTTTTTTATAAGAAAAAAAGTTGATTAGTTATGAGAAAATATAAACATGGAAGAAAATTATTTTTTTTTATTATTTTCTATTTCATACTTATCAAACATAAAAATTTAAAAAAAAAAAAATTTCTTACATTTTTTACAATAATCCCACTTAACAAACAAACTCGAAGTTATATGCACTGGAAGCTTCCTTTTTTTTTTTTTTCTCCTTTCTCTATCTTTTCACTTTGCCCGTCAAACAAAACAGACAGACACCAAGTTCGTCTTCTCTAGCTCTTTCTCTCCACTTTGCCTCTTAGATAGAACGAACATACACACACACACACAAAGAGAGCTCATTTTCTCTAGCATCTTCTTCTTCACCACAAGCAAAAACTTCAAATCTAATCTCTCTTTCGCAACAATTGGAACTTCAAATCTAAGCATAAATCTATGTATATACAGAGATCTGTGTGCGTCTATGCATGTGTTTGCATGTATATACATCTATATATATGTGTGTATGTCTCTATATATATATTTTTGTAAATGCATCTACATGTGCATGTGTCAATGTGTGTGCGTGTGAATATATTTTTTGGAGATAAAGAAAGAAGAAAGAGCAAGATGAGAATTATAAATTATTATCCAAACAAATTATATAATTTTTATTCTTTAAAACTATTTTCAAAAATATATAATCAAACAACTTTTCCAATCTAATAAATTTTTAAAATTCTTTCCAAAAATAATTTTTAAATACAAACTAAACATGTCCTAGCTCTCCCATTAACTTAATTGTCTTCAAACCTTCATCAACATTTCGTATTATTAACTTCGAGAGCTGCAGATCAGACTACCCAAACATACATACAGAGAGAAAACCAGTAAATAAGCGAGGGTAGAGGAAAACCTAAGGCTATTGATGCTACTTATACTGCAATTTCAAAATTCCAAAATCGCCCTGCAAAATTATATAAACCAAATTACCAAGTTAAACTCAATCCTAAATTAGAATACCAGATAATCTCACACCCCCATTTGATAAACGATGAAAACACTGAAAAGAGATTGCCATTTACACAGTAGTAGAAACACATTTGAAGGAGGGCTTGGAAGCATGAGATTCAACAATTAGAGACCAAATATCAGACAAATTCATTAAAAACTAACTGACAAACAACCCCCGAAGGATTGTAATACATTTAATAAACTGAAATTAGATCCTAAAACACCAGTACTACCTAACCTTACCCCCCCCCCTCCAAATTTACCAATTCAAAACCCCCAAACAAACAATAACACAATCAAAATCAACCACCGAACCCATACAGAGTCCTTCCCTGCCTCTTGAGAGCATAGACCACATCCATGGCAGTCACCGTCTTCCTCCTAGCGTGTTCTGTATAGGTAACAGCATCGCGAATCACATTCTCGAGAAAGATCTTGAGAACACCGCGAGTCTCCTCGTAGATAAGCCCACTGATACGCTTCACTCCACCTCTACGAGCCAGACGACGAATCGCTGGCTTTGTGATGCCTTGAATGTTGTCGCGAAGGACCTTCCTGTGACGCTTCGCTCCTCCCTTTCCCAAGCCTTTGCCACCCTTCCCGCGTCCAGACATTTTCCGATGATTGAGAAGATGAAATGAACACGAATTCAAAGGAATTGAAATTAAAAGAGAAGCGCAATTGATTTGGAGGAAGTTAAAAGGTGACAGTGGGTTTATATAGGAAATGCTTCGGATATAAAGGAGGATGGGGACCGTTGGATTTGGAGTGCAGATCGACAGTTGAGAATGGCGATCCGCGTCATTAGGTTTAGGTGGTTCTGAGCCGTTTACAAGGGTTGAATCGACGGTGGGGAATGACAGTAGTTTGATGACACGGATTGTGCTTTTTCGGCTGCAACGCTTGTCGAATATTCCTATATAGTCGTCTGCTATGAATCTGAATCTATAGTGGTTGTTCCTTGTTTGTCCTCCTGCACCTGCTAGGCCCGGGTTACTTGGGCCGATCCACGTGTGTTGAATTTGAACCCCGGGTAGGATGTTAATCGAAGGGAAAATTAAAAGGAGGCATACCCAATTTGATTTAATTGTAAAAAAAAATATATAGAAAAAACGTTGGGTAATTAAGTTCTTAATTTTGATACTTATTTATATCTAAGTACATTATTTAAATTTTACTGATTTTTTTGTGATATTTTTGCCCTTCATTAATCTATGTGTATTTAATGCACCACTTTAAAATGGTGCATTAAACATCTCTTATTTTTATGGGAGAACTTGAATACATATTTATATATATATATATATATGATTGACACTATTCTTCTAAGACTATAGTCTTCAGCCACTGTTTATAGTGTCAATTATAATGTCAGTCATTAATTTCAAGGATAAGATGGAACTTTAAACTTGTTTTTAAAGATTATTTTTGTCGTCTTGCAATTCTTAAGAAAAAGATAGGTATATGATTAATTAATTGATCTTTCATAGCATTGCAATAGAGACACCAAAGTAAAACTTTGCAATTATTAGTATTCCATGTGGAGAAAAAGCTATAAACATTTTCTCCTCCATAATCACAAAAGCAGTCAAGAAGTTCAAGTGATTTGGCAATAAGATCCAAAGAGAATGAATCTGAGTTATGACTCATTTCTGTAACTTCTTGGACTTTTTCTGCAAAATAAAAATCACTTTTTAATATGTTAGAAGAGGATGGAAAATTTAATTGATTTTCTTTATAAATCAATATTTCTTTTATTTGATTTATCAGTCTCACTTGAGAAGAAGTATTAACAGGTCGATATATACCATGTGGTATATTAATGTTTTGGAAATTTTCCAACATAAATGGGAAACACTTGATGGAAAAATTATAAACAGTTTTTATTCTCTAACAACTAAACCAATAAAAATACCCTTAAATAATTCTGAAGAAATTCATATAAACGCTTGTTATACGGGCAACACTATAGGTCAACATCTCACTAAAATTGAGAATTTAATATATTCACACCAAACTTCAACTTTACAGTCCCGTAAGGATAAGGAAGTTGAACAAGTCAATATAAAACCATCAGTTGACATTTCCACATTCAATTTGCATAATAAAGTGGAAGATGAGTTCATAAATGCACTCAAAAATAAATTGAAAGGCTTGACATTAAATGTCAACTCTAAAACCCAAGATGAAGAGCAATCTTAAACTGAAATCCAACAATATGAAAATTCTTTACACCAAATACAATATAAAAAATAAATAAAATTAAATTTTTTAAACCAAAATCTCAAGCTAATATTTATGCACAAGCTCATCCCATGAGGGCTTATTATCAGAGGACAACACCTCAAAATATTATATATGAAGAAAACTTGTTTATTGATCAACAAGGATATGATGCTTCCTCCATTTATGAATGGAATATTGATGGTATGTCTAAATATGTCATTCATCAAGTTTTACATAAAATTTTAATGTATGCTTCAATATGTAAAGCTAATCGAAATTCTGATTATGCTACTGCTAAATTTATCACCACCAGGTTTACAGGCTAACTAAGAGGATGGTGGAATAACTATTTAAGTCCAGTTCAACAAAATGAAATTTTAAATGCAGTCAAGGTAACACCAGCAAAAAGTGAAACTATAATTACTCAAGAAGATGTTGTATATACCTTGGTTCAATCTATCTTAAAACACTTTGTTGGATCCAATTTTTAAAATTTGGATAAAAACAAAGAACTTTTAATGAATTTAAGATGTCTCACCTTAACACATTTCAGGTGGTATAAAGATGTGTTTTTGGCTAAAGTTTTGCTAAAATCATATGTTAATAATGAATTTTAGAAAGAAAAATTTATATTAGGATTGCCCAATTTATTTGCTGAAAAAATAAGAATTCGCTTAAAGCAAAAACATGGAGGATTTAAAATCCCTTATGAAAATTATACTTATGGGGAACTAATTTCTGAAGGTATTTCGGAAGGTTTAGCTCTCTGTAATGATTTAAATCTTAAAACTCAACTTAAGAGACAAAGATTAACTGGTAGAAAAGAACTTGAAAAATTTTATAATCAATTTACTTATAATCTTGATATCCCAAAAGATAAGGTTTCTAAAAAACCTTATGCTAAGCCTTATAAATAAGGTAGAAAATTCTATAAAAAAAAGCTATACTAAGGAACAACTCACTAAAAGAGTGAAAGAAAAGGACAAGAAACCTTTTCTTAAATGTTTTAAGTACGAAAAGGAAGGTCATATTGTTTCCAAATGTTTAATTAAATAACAGATAAATGAATTAATTAATGATGAAGACCTTAAAGAAAAAATCTTTTTAAACTCAGAAAATGAGATTGAAGATAATTTTGAAGACTACAATATTAATGAAATTATTGATTCTTCTTCAGAAATCGGTTCTTTAGGACAGGATAAACCTTGTTCTTCACACTGTAAAGCTGAAAATAATTATTATAAAGATATTCTAACTATGAATGGATTAAGTATAAATAGTTTGACTAAGTCACAAATTTTTATTCTTGATCTTATAGATAAAATTCAAGATCCACTTTCTAAAAGAAAAGCTATTGAACAATATTTAGAGATAAATCTAGATGAAAAAAGACCTAATCTGTCTCAACCATATTCATTAAAGGAAGTCCTTAATAGAAATGAAAAGGACATGAGTAATAGTCCACTCCATATAAAGGAAGCTTTGCCTATTACAATTCAAAATATAGAGATAGAAATCAATGAAGTCAAAGAAGACATAAAAGTCTTAAAGTCTAGATTATTAGCTTTAGAAAAACTCCGATCTAAAGAAAGTGACATACATGATGATATAGCATCACCATCACTATCTAACTTTGATGATAAAACATCACCAAATGAAAATATAAATGTTTTAGAAAAAATAACTTATCATAAATTGTATATGAAAATTATTTTAGTTATAAATTCTGAATTTACTGTCGAAACTATTGTTTTAATTGACAGTGGAGCAGATATGAACTGCATAAAGACATGATTAATTTGACAAAATATTTTGAAAAAACTACTCAGTCAGTAAGTGTTGCTGATGGATCAAAATTAAATATTAATTTTAAACTTTCTAATATTTTGGTTTGTAATCAAGGAATTTGTATTCCTACTACTTTTATGCTCATTGATAATTTAAATCAATTGGTGATTTTAGGAATACCATTTTTATCCTTAATCGAACCTATAGAAAGAATCGATTCTAAAAAAATTTTGACTACCATAAATGATCAACAAATATTATTTAAGTTTATAACTCCACCTCAAGTGAAACTGATAAATCAAATAAAAGAAAATTTGATTTATAAAGAAAATCAATTAAAATTTTCATCATCTTCTAACATATTAAAAAGTGATGTTTATTTTGCAAGAAAAGTCCAAGAAGTTACAGAAATGAGTCATAACCCAAATTCATTCTCTTTGGATCTTATTGCCAAATCACCTAAACTTCTTGACTGTTTTTGTGATTATGCATGAGAAGATATTTATAGTTTTTCCTCCACATGGAATACTAATAATTGCAAAGTTTCATTTTGGTGTCTCTATTGTAATGTTATGGAAGATCAATTAATTGATCACATACCTATCTTTTTCTTAAGAATTGCAAGACGGCAAAAAGAATTTTTAAAAGCAGGTTTAAAGTTCTATATTATCCTTGAAATTAATGACTGACATTATGATTGACACTATAAACAGTGGCTGGAGACTATAGTCCTAGAAGAATTTTGCCAAGAAATGGTAAATAAACTTGGTGGTATAACTATTAGAACCCAAGTTTTTGTATATAAAATACATATTATTCTGATGACTATAAAAATGATTTTTATGTATATAGAAGTGCATATTACTTTAATCCATATAAGGATACTTATTATTTTAATGCATATAAAAATGCTTATTATCCTCTACTCTCTATAAAGTCATCATCACATAAAGGTGATATAGATAATAACCCGTCAAAACAACTTAAAGTTGTCACATCTTTGTCAAATAAAGTTAACAATAAAGATAAGTTGTCAAGAGATAAATCTCTCTCTAATATTTAAAGATCTTTGACTTTGTCTCCATATATGGAGCTTAATTTTTCATTTGTCTCTAAAATTATTGAAAGGATATATCCTTACGATGTTAATAAAACCAGAAAAATCAGGGAGATTATTGATTCCAGACAAATCAAGAAACATTTAATCCACTTTTGGAAAAATTGTCCGCTTGAGTTTAAAAGTAAAATCATAGCAGAATGTCTTAAAGACATTAATAAAGAAGAAGATAAATCTTCAACTGATAAAGCTTCATCTTCTACATATATTATTCCCTTTACCAATATAAATATTGGAACTAATTTAAATTCTATGAAAGTTCTTAAAGAATTAATTAAAAAAAAAAAACCTTAAATAAATCCTTGGCATCTTAAAGCAGCGGTTATGGAGGAATTCGGTTTTCAGATCATGTCTAATTTTGGCATGAGCAAAACAGAAAAGATGTATCTCGTTAACCCTCCTACAATTGCTATAAAAGGCAAAGCGAAAGATAAAGTTGAGGAAAAAAATAGGAAATCTCCTACTTCTATTAATTCTGATGACGACTTTATAGATTTCTAGGAATATACCCCTCTTAAAGGTGACATTGAAATTAACGAAGAATTGTTAAATGTTGATATGAAGATAAATCTCCATGATGACAGACATAATGTACTGTCTACTTTATTTTATAGGAAATGATCAAATAAAATTGATTTCTCGGATAAAGCCGACTCGGAAGCAGTGATGCACGCCCTGACCTCACTACGAAGAAGTGACGTATGCCCTTACGTTATTACAACGACTGTGAATAGTGTACAGTAATTATGATGTAAGCAATGACATCATTATAAATTATTAAAGTTAGGAACAGTATAAAGTTGTGAATAGTATTTTTTATTTTGAAATCCGAATTTCATGTCCGACTTTATATATAGGGGTGCAGGCCTGACTTATGGAGCACCACCCCCAAGACCTTCTCCATACCTTATCTCATACCTCTACCAACTCCCTTGACCATCTCCTTCCTTCCTTCCCTCTTGCACCCTCGGTGAACCTTTTTCTTGTATAACCCTCCTTCTTTCACCTCCTACTCTACTACTGTAAGTAGACTTTACTTTGTAAATACACTTTTGAATTAATAAAAGTTCTTTATTTTGTAGATAAATCAAAACCTTTATCAAAGTCTTCTTCCTGAGAAGATGTATTAACAGGTCAATATATACCTTGTGGTATATTATTTTTGAAAATTTTAATTCCTTCAATTATAGGTTCTTTATCTCTTCTTCGATTTTGGACCGAAGAAGTGGATTTTCTTATAGGTATAAAAGGAGTTAAAGGTGTATTATAATCTAATGAAGTTTCTGATTTATCAAAAGATTGTAAATAATTTCTAGAGTTTATCCTAGCAAATTTTATGGTAACATCACCTTGGGATGATTGGGCGATCTGGGTTATTTCTTCATTTATTTCTGGTTTTTTAGGAACCACAGACTTCAATTGTCAGGAGTCCAAAAATTGGATATCTGACTATTTAATGGTTTTAGGGACTTCAATTTTATTTTTAACCGTGTTGGTTTCAATTAAGGTGGTTTGACCTTTAAAATTCAAAAGCTTAGCTTCAGGACATAGAGTATTCATAACTTTATAATATATCCTATAAGCAAACACAATTATTTTTGTGCCTTCTTTATAATTATAGCCACGAGATTTTATATGATATGTTAAAACATCCAAAATATTTTTATCAGTCAAAGATACAGATAGATTTGGAAAATAGTTAAAATAAACTGAACCAGTACTTAAATTGGACTGCATAACACCCATTAAAGACTGATCAAAATTAAGACATCTAGCATCTCGTAATACTAAATACACTTTTGAATGATATATATATATATATATATATATATATATATATATATATACTTATGTATGTATGTATGTATATACTTGTTGTTAAATCTCTTATCTAAATTTTGAATTATCTTTTAATGCACCTTGATTCATGCATTTTTTTTTTCCAAAGTGTTTTTATTTTCAAATTAATTTAATATCTGAATAGTGTAATAGTATAACAATAACAATGTAACAATAAAAGTGTAACAGTGTAATACTAACAGTGTAACAGTATAACAATAATAGTATAACAAACTATTTACACAAAATATTGTACTATTATATTTTGTCAAACATATAATTTTATTCAAAATAGTTCATCTCCGTTTTAAATTTGTTATCGCATACACAAAATTATTGAACACTTTTTTTGTTACAGTGTATTTGTTACACTGTTATTGTTACATTATTACATTATTCGAATATTAAATTAATTTAAAAATAAAACCATTTTTCAAAAAAAAAATGATTGAATCAATGTGCATTAAATATAATTTAAAAATAAAAATCACTTTCCAAAAGAAAATACGCATGAATCAAGGTGCATTAAAGATAATTCAAAATTTAGATAAGAGATTAAACAACAAATATATATATATACATGTTTATATGTATTAACATATACACATGAATTAAGGTACATTAAATACGTATTTATATGTATTAACAAACACACATGAATCAAAGTGCATTAAAGATAAAAGATTTTGAATTAAATGACCCTAAAATGGGCATTTATGTCTTTGTAACTTAGTTGTGTACTTTTTTTCATAATATTTTGTTCTATGTATTTTTTGCCAAATAAGTTTAATTAGGTATATCAGCTTCCAAAGAACCCTTAATTGAATTGAAGCTTATGACATAACTATAAAAATGTATAAAAGTGTACTACTAATAAATGAGTGCAAAAGAATTTATAATTCAAATACTATTAATAGAAAAATCTAAAATAACTTAAAAGTCAAATAGGTATATGAAATAAAAAGTGTATGAAAGTGATAAAGAATTTATATGAAATAAAAAGTGTATGAAAGTGATAAAGAATTTAAAATTCAAATATTGTAATAAAAGAGTCTAAAATAACTTAAAAGTCAAATAGGTATAGGAAATAAAAATGAAATGAAAATAATATGTGGGCATTATTGACTTTATAATAATAATTAAGGATAAAATAAGTAATCAAAAGTTTTTCACAAATGTTGACATTGATAAGTAAAATATAGATATTCATGTTGGATTCAATTTGTCCTTATAATAAAAGTAATTGAACTCAAACTCAGATTTGCATATATCAAAAAACACTACATTAATATGACATGAACTCATAGTATGCCGATTAGAAATCATCTCATCCAATTCATCGATGATACTACTATTCATTCAACTTGTTAAAATTCTTAGTCGATACGAATGAATTGAACTTGAGCAAGCAAACCTAAGTAAACATATGACTTGGGCACAACCTAAATGTCAAATGAGCTTAAAAATTTGATACTACTTAGTTCTTTTCAAGTAGGGTTAATTGCGGTTGTGGTCCCCAAAGTATTCATTTTATCTCATTTTGGTCTCTAAGCTTCTAATTGCATTGATTTGGTCCCTCATGTATTACATATGCACTTACCTAGTCCCTGCCATTGACGCTGTCCACGATTCTGGTGGTTCATAGTCATGTGTCATCCGCATGACCCAGGTGAGGGGCTTATATGACATTTACCCTTATCCCATTCATGGAGGAAAACGACTAATCAGATATACTCTTCACTTGTTCTGCAATAGAGAAGATTCTTTAGTTAGGGCAAAATACAATTAGGGCAAAACAAAGCACCATTTGAACAGGTCAGAACACCATTAGAGCAAATCAAAACACCATTAAGGCAACGTAGAACAACATTAGGGCCAAGCACAAAGATGGTACGTTCCAAATGACGGAAGACTGGGAATCAATGTGCAGATGAAGACATTTCCCATCTTGGTATGTACTCATTCTTATAGATTTGAGTCTAAGGTTTATGGGTAAGACTAATTTATAAAAGTCAGTATTCAATAGTAGATAGTTTATGTGTTTGTTCGAAACCATTTGTTTATGCATTGAAAACTCTTTGTTAATAGTTTATGTGTAAGTTGCAATATTTTATAGTTGATGTGGTCCTTGAAAACCATTTGTTTTATGCATTGGAAATTGTTCAGTAATAGTTAATGTGTTAGTTGCAATATTTTATAGTTGATGTAGTCCTTGAACATGATCTTATTATACAAGAATCACAACGGAGAATCATCTGGTTGATGGTGATGTCTCAGTTGATAAAGGGAAAAGGGTAGCATCAGAGTCTGATGAATCAAACAGTGAATACAATGTGATGACATTGAATCTAGTGAGTATGATATGTTGGTTGACAGTGATTATGAAAGTGAGTATGATGACATGTTGTATGATAGTTATGTTGATAATGAAGCTAAATGGACTGGGTTGAATAGTAATAGGCAGAAAGAAAAAACAACAGACAAAAGGCAACAGTTAGAACTCAGTGATACAGATGTTGATTCTGAGGAGATTTTAAGCTGCTTTAGTTCATCTGATGGAGAGAATCATGGAAGAAAACATAAAAAAATTCAAGTATTTAGGGCAGAAAATGATGAGGAAGACCCATATTTTAAAATGGGTATGTTTTTTAGTACATCTAATGAGATCAAGGCTGCCATTAGACAACATGCCATCAAACATCAGAGAAATGTGAAATTAGTAAAAAAAAAAATGATAAAAGGAGGGTGAGGGCACAATGTGAAGGGGCTGCAGTTGGCTGGTTTATGCTTGTAGAGTGCATGATGAGAAAACATACCAAATAAAGACATACATTGGTAAGCATACATGTGGAAAAACTTACAATAACAAAAATGTCGCCTCAAAGATAATAGCATTGAAGTATATGGATGAACTAAGGGTCAATCCTTGTTGGCCTACAAAGGCTTTTAAAATGAGGGTTAGGAGAGATTTTCATGTTGATATATGAAGGAATCAATTGTATAGGGCAAAGAAAAAGGGCAATGTTCTTGATACATGGTGATGAAATTGAACAATATGGTAGATTGCAGGATTACTGTGAGAAACTAAGGAAGACTAACCTTGGTTCCACAATTATCTTGGATGCACCTAGTGATGAGGAAAATGGTGAACCTATATTTCAGAGGTTGAATGTATGTCTTGCAGCATGTAAGAAGGGATTTCTTCAAGGGTGCAGGAAAGTGGTTGGATTAGATGGTTGCCAACTGAAAGGGCATATAGTGGACAATTGTTGACTGCTGTTAGGATTGATGCCAATGATTCTATGTTTCCCATTGCCAACTATATTGTTGAGATTGAGATGCAAGAATCATGGGCATGGTTCTTAACAATACTATGCACTAACTTAGGCATAACTGATCAAAACCATGAGCAGTGGACCTTCATCACTGATAGGCAGAAGGTATGTTTTAATCAAAATCAACAGCAATGGTTCTTAACATTTATTTATCAGTTTATATTAACATGTTCTAAACATTTTCTGTGCAGGGTTTGCTTCTAGCATTGACTGAGAGAGTACCAACATATGAGCATAGGCATTGTGCTAGGCACATACTAAACAATTTCATTAGACACTTTAAGGGATTGAGTATTAGGAAGAAATTCTGGAAATGTGCTAGGGCAACACATATTTCATAATTTGACTATGGGATGCAAATGATGAAAGAAGAAGATGAGAAGGCATTTGATTGGTTGGCCCATGAACCACCAAGGTATTGGAGTAGGTCACACTTTAGAGAAGAACCTAAGTGTGATATTTTGTTAAACAATATATGTGAGAACTTTAATGGGGCAATTATAGAGCAAGAGATAAACCCATCTTAGAAATGCTACAATGGATTAGATGCTACTTAGCTCAAAGAATGTTGAAGATAAGAGAATGGGTTGGGAATTATAAGGGTGATATATGCCCTAAAATTCAAACGAGATTAGAGAAATGTAAAGGTGGTAGCTTTGATTGTATTTCTGAGTGGCATGGTGAGTTGAAGTTTGAGTTAAGGTGTATGAATGGAGAACAATATACAGTTGATTTGAAGGAGCAGTCTTGCTCATGTAGAAAATGGGACTTGACAGGGATCCCATGCCCACATGTCATTGCTTGCATTCAAAATAGGGGACAACAACCAGAAGATTATGTTATTGGGCAGTACGAGAAGGGGGCATTCATGCAGGCATATGAACCAATCATAAACCCCATTAATGGATATAAGATGTGACCTAAAAGTGGATTGACCCCACCATTGCCTCCATTGATCAGGAGACAACTTAGTAGGCTAAAAAAATTACGAAGGAAGGAACCAGATGAGTTGCTTAGTAAAAAAACGACCACATAAGTTAAGGAAATGTGGAAATGTATCAGTTAATTGTAGAAGATGTGGTCAAAATGGGCAAAAAGAGGAGGACTTGTACTGTTACACTGCCAGAAGGAAACCAAGCTGAAAGGAGCCAAGCTGGGGGAAGCCAAGCTACTATGAACCAAGCTGGAGGCAGCCAAAATGTTGTTAGCCAAGGGGGAGAGAGTCAAGCTATTGGGAAAGGTAGCTCTTGCTTTGAACAAGTAATTGCTGCAAAGTAATTTCAGGCAATCCATTGAAGTAGTAAACAATTTCATTGAACTTTTTGGCTCATATCTTACCTTTTTCTCTATATAGCTTCAAGGTTTAACCATTAGTTCACCATCAACTATTAGCATTGTCTTCTTCATTCGTACTCGAAGGGATAAAATACCATTCAGGAGGAGCAAATCAATAAGCACCCATACCTGATCTGCAACTTCTTTTTTTTTTTTTTTGGAGACAAGCTTATATGCAATGTAAATGTGTTGCTCTCTTTTAGGTTTGTGATGAGAGTCTAAATCTGGCTTATAAGCTTTTATGTACTCTTTCTTGCTCTCATTTTAAGTTTGTACTGAGAAACCAACTTGTAATTATGGACATCTTTTGTTTTGATGCTAACAGGTTGTTACCTTAATGAAAATCATCATTACCTTTTGTTTTGTATGGAGTTTGGCTCTAATAATTACCTTTTGTTTGTATAGAGTTTTGCTCTAATAATTACCTTTTGTTTTGTGTGGAGAGACTTTTGTTTTGTATGGAGTTAAGGTTGGTTAATGTTTGGTGGGTGATTGGTAACTGTAATGTTTTCTTGGATTTTGTGGAGAAAGAAGACATGTGGTAAGGGCTAGAAAGCATAATAATTCCATCAAAAGGTGTTGTGGACTGAGCTTCTTTGAATTTTAACATCATCTTGGTTTGGAAGCTTTGATTTGTATGTTCATCTTAGAAGGTTGATGCTTTTCTTGAATAATTGAATTTCTCTTTTGATCGGTGCACACTTTTAGTGTAGAATTGGGCCCATGGGACTTTCGGTAAACTGGAAAGGTGATCTGATCCTTTGCTTTTGAGAGGAATTGCAATAAGCTTCCAATACATTGATCTTCTAAAACAGTAGTGCCCAGTAGTTTCATGGGGCAAGTCTTAAAGGAATGCGAAGTGGGACAAGGAAAACCTAGTGATGTTCAGTACAAAAGGCATTGAAAGTCCGAAGACAGTATATTAAACAACAGGGCACCTCCTACACAACAAAAACAGGGCACCCTCATACACAACAAAAACAGGGCACCCTCCTACACAAAAAAGGAGCACCCTCCACAGACAAATAGGACACTCCTACTTATAGTATATGCCACACCCAAATAGAAATAAAAAAATGTCCAAGAACAGAACAAAGCAACCCATAATAATTTTTCCCTAGCTTTTGTCTTTCGTTGTTGGTTCTCCTACCTTTGCTTTGATCACAACAATCTGGGTATCACTTGTTTTGCTCTATCGCACATTGGTGGATCATACCAAGCAAAAAATCCACACTCTCCCAGCCTCCTACAAATGCAACATTTTGTTAAATTCATTCAAAATCGAAAACTCAGTAACAAAATCTAGAACATCTTTTTTACCCCATATCTTTCACATCCAATGAACCTTCTTCATGGGTTGGTATTGGTCCATGAGATCCTCATTTTGCCTATTTGTCTACAGTAGCATGATGTTGCTATCATTCCAGCCGATATTGATCCCTTTCCTTCCCTTCCATTCCCTTCATTTTGTCCCTATCTTCTCCTATGCTCTATAATAGACAATGGGATATAACCCAAAACTGTTGGCTGTTGGCGGGAATGTTTCCCTCTAGGAATGGGAGGAGGGTAAATATCATATAAGCCCCTCACATAGGTCATGCGGATAACACATGACTATGAACTGTTAGAATCATGGACGACATCAATGACGGGGACTAGGTAAGTGCATATGTAATACATGAGGGACCAAATTGATGCAATTAGAAGGTTGAGGACCAAAATGAGACAAAATGAATACTTTGGAGACCATAGCCGCAATTAACCCTTTCAACTAAAATGAGTTTAAATAGCATCCAAGTCTAATTCAAATGGGTCGACTTGTTTTAAGTCATTATTTCAAGGCTATAATTCTAGTAGTTCAAATGACAGTTTGGATGCTAGGGGATCAATTTGAATGTGTTGGACAGGTTGAAAGGTCAATCCTAGCCCAATTCCATATATAAAATTTTCAACCTTAACTCTAATCCCAACCCGACCTCAACCCGAGGTAATCAACCCAAATATATCGGGTTTAATTGAATTCAAAAGTTGAATTCGAGTGGGGCTTGGGTTGAATTCGGGTTTAAATTTAAATTTGATTTGTTCAAGCCTGAAATTAGCCTGTTATTCTAAATCTTGTACATTGTTTTTAGGAGGGGGGGGAGGGGGATTTGAACTCTTAACCTCAAGAACACAAAACCTTCATAAGTTAAGGAGTATCATTAGATCAAAGGCCCATTGGTTCTAAATTTGGTATATACTACATAATATTCACCTAAAGTAACAACTAGTAACTTCAATCAAATATTTAACATAAAGAAAATAATATTTAAAGCATAAAAAAGTATAGACAAAAATCAAATTATACTTTTCTTAACATCTATATAATAAAACACTTAGAAGTTTGAATTTTTATCTCACACATATTTTTCCCCCAAATCATCTCATCACCCAATTCTATCACATGTTTAATCATTTAATATTTGATTAAGGGTTAATTGCACTAGAGGTCTCCAAAGTATGAAGTTTGTTTCTTTTTGGTCCCCAATATTTTTAATTGCATCATTTTGGTCCCTGAAGTATTGAATATGCTTTTATATAGTCCCTTAAGCAGACAATATCCAAATTGTTAATAATTTTTTATCACAAACTTGCCACATGATACTTAAATGTGGACAAAAAAATAATTTGAATAACTCTTGACCAAATTTTTACCCAAATTTTAGATAAATACCTACTTAAATTAAATAGTTTTGATCATGAACTATCCAAATTTTGATCAAAAATTACTTATATGACATATTTTTTTATCAAGAGCTACCCAAATTTTGTTTAAGAGCTATCAATATTATTTTTTGTACATATTTAGCTATTACGTGACAAGTTTATGATAAAAAATTGTTAGCAATCTGGACGTTGTCTGGTTGAAGGACCATCTAGAAATATTTTCAATACTTCAGGGACTAAAACAATGCAATTGAAACATTGGGGATCAAAAGGAGACAAACTTCATACTTTAGGGACATCTAGTGCAATTAACCCTTTGATTAATTTATAGTTTAACATAATTATTATTTCATACACTGTCTATATACGATAATATATACGTGTTATAAAAAATTGTCGACTTATACATTTTGAAAAAAATTTGATGTCATTTTAAAAAAAATTAATAGATAGAAATTAATTTTAAATAATGTAATCAAATAAATAAAGGAATAAAAAATTATTATTTAGTATAGTAGGATTAATTTTTTATACGATTAAATCTTATGTTTTATCGTGCCTGAAGGCATGGGTTATAACTAGTAAAGACATAATAATCATAATTATCAAATTAACATAATAACCATAATAGTCAAATTAATATAAAAAATCATATTGAACTCAATTTTTAACCATAATATTGAACTCAATTTTTTTTTTCATGAAAAAAAAAATTCAATTTTTAACCATAATATTCTGGTTAAACTAGATAATCCAAGACTTCAATCCTTTTATTGCCCAAATTTAATTCGAATTGGTATTTTTCAACTCTTGCCCAACCTAAATATTAAAAATTTAAAGCCAAACTCTTTTTTTTTTAGTTGTATTGTGGTTGAATTCAGGTGGGTCGCTCAAGTTACACTTTTATTGGATGCTAACAAGACCCAATATAGCAAATATAAAACCCATGGTGTTGGTGGGCCATGGGCATTGAGAAGTTTGAATGAATGGGCTGTTTTTTGTGGTTATATGTAGGGTAAATTGTAAGGGAGTACACCAAATTAAACTTATTTGACAAAAAATACACACTAAAAAATGTAGGGTTATTAAGTCATTAATTTTGATACTTATTTGTATTTAAGTAAACAATTTGAATTTGCCTAATTTTTTTGTGAAATTTTTGCCCTCTATTGATCTATATGTATGTTCTTTGGAAAGTGGTGCATTAAATATCTCCTAGTTTTATAGGAGAACTTTAGTATTTAATGCACCTTGATTCATATGTATTTGTTAATATATTTATATATGTATATATATAATTGTATATATATAAATACATATATATATATTAACATATACATATATAAGTATTTGTGTGTATATATATATGTATGTATTTATATGTATACAAGTATGTATATATGTATAAATATAAATATATATGTATTTATATATATACAAGTATGCATATATGTATAAATATAAATATATATACATATATATATATATATATACGTGTAAAGTGTAACATTGAAAATGTAAAGTGTAAAGTATTATCCTATATCTCTCATTTCTTAATGGAAAGTGTGAAGTGTTATAGGGTAATATTGAAAGTAACAATAACAGTATAACAATAACAATGTAACAAGTTATTTACACAAGGTAAGGAGAGACATTACCTAAAGTGTTACACAAATAGAATATACATGTCTCATCTTACACTAAAAATGCTAATTAATTGAGAAAGTATGAAAGTGTTACACTTTCAATGTTAACATGTAACATTTTACACTTTTCATTAAGTAAGGTGAGACATAAGGTAATACTTTACACTTTACACTTTCAATGTTACACTTTTCACGTATATACATACTTGTATATGTACTTTTATATATATATATATATATATATATATATATATAGTATGTATGTAGATATAAATATAAATATATATGTATTTATATACGTATATATTTATATTTATATCTATATATCTATATATATATATATGTGTGTGTGTGTGTGTGTATTTATATACGTATATAAATACATACATATATAAATATAAATATATATATATACACACAACTATAAATATAAATATATATACGTATAAATATAACTATATATGTATATATATATATATACGTATTTATATATACTTGTTTGTATATATATATTAACAAATACACATGAATCAATGTGCATTAAATATTAACGATCTCCCATAAAACTAGGAGATATTTAATGCATCACTT